GGGAGGAGAAAGAGGGAGTAATCCTCACCCAGCCAAGCAGCTGCACAACGCACACGTGGCCCAGTCCAAGTTGCAACCTTTGGGTCATTAACTTCCCAACTCCTGCAACCCACTGGCTCTAAGTATATGTCACCCTCTTCTGTCCACTCTGGCAGTCATCTTTCTTCCCATTAGAAAAAGGGCAAAGAAGAAAAAGACAGACAAGAAAATGGGAAGAGGAAAGAAGATGACCCGACAGGATTATCGCCAAGGTTTCCTGTGCTCTCCAAGATATATTCTGCACAGTCTTGAAGAAAGTCAGCTTTCTCTCAGAACACTGGTCTATGATGTTGGACACTGCGACCAAGCAGAGCAATGAGCAAATGTGTTCAGCTCACATTTGTCTCCTCTTAAAATATTTTGAAAAATATTCACAAATCTCAAAGCATTTTAAATATATTCCCTACCCATCCTACTGACAGGGACTAGTAAAATTACAAAATTATTTCCCAGTCATGACCCTTCTGATGTGCAGCTGAGGCCTCAGGAACACACTGTAAAGCTGACGAGCTGTTTTGCGGCTGAAACTCAGGATTAGACAACACGCAGGTATTTATAACTGCACAATCATCGCGCAGTCACTCTCTCCAAGACTCTGAAACTGTTTTGGAAAGTAATTATACTTTCTGAAAGAGCTCAAAAGCCCAGTGTCGTGCACTGGAGTTTGGCATGCTGCAGAGTCACAGCCTCAGAGCTGACTTGCTGAGACACAGAACATTTACCTGTTTCAGTGACCTAGTCGGAGCTGTGAGTTCTCAATGCTCTTACAAGTCACATCTAACATGGTCCTTCCATTGTCACACAGTAAGCCACTGGGAAGAGCTCTCAGGGCTCCTGGCTCTCAGATAATCATTCTCTCTCACACTTACTTATTGAATTACCTAATCTTATTAGTTTTGGTATTAACATGTAAATTTTTACTCTTACTATCTCCAGTAATTTGTAATCACACTCCATTTGCAAATCCCTAATCAAGTAAGCTCTTGTCTCCTTCCTAACAGGACAGGAGCTCCATTCTCTTACCATCCTTCAGGATACAAACCTGTATGCAAGGAAAGGAGGGCTGCACCTACAGATGACACAGATGGAAAGTAGATTCCAAGATGATCCCATTATTAATCCAATTCACCTCTCCCCTATAAGCTGAAAATCCTTCTCTTCCTTCTAACAATCATTTCCCCTCACTTTCACAATAACCTACCACTGACGGTCCACAACTGGCAGATCCCAGGTCCACTTCTGAACCCAAGCCAGTCAGCACCTGCCAGTAACGCAGCACAACCCCACCTCTCTGCCTCGCCTTTGAGCTCCCTCCTGCGAGCTGCCCTTCACAAATCAAAGCAAAGGAAGAGGGAAGGTGACAAGCTGCTCTGCAAGCCCTACCAAAGCTGACATTTTATTGCTTTCTTCCATAGCAATTTTGTATGCTCTGTAAAAGCCAAGGGAAAGTTTTCTTCTTCTTCTTACAGGGGCCATGGCACCAACTTGTCCTCGTTCAAGGTAGGAGAGGATGCAATTCATGTGCAAGCACCACACCTCTCTCCCCACAAGGAAACCTTGAATCTCTCCTCCTTGTGGCAGCCAGCTGGCCAAGCGCAGGACCCCCACACAGTGGGACGAGAACTTCAAATAAAGTTCCTATGATAATGCACTGCCGTATACATCCCACAGAACACCAAAGTGGGATGTCACACCACATGAGTGACTATCTTTTAAAATACATGTTATGAAATAACTGCAAGATAGCACTATCAAACCTTTTAACTAGAGAGCTACAGTCTGGTTTTGGTTTTATCTTCAGGGCATCCTTTAAAGCTAGTTTTAAGGAGATCTGGCAGCAGAACTAAGTGAACAGAAGAGACGACAAGATATTATGCATGTGGCAGATTTCTGAATAGATGGTAAGTGAAGAGCAGAAGAAGGACAGTGTCTAGCCAGAAGCCATTACAGTAATCGAAATGGGAGATGACTAATGAATGAACTAAGTGTACCCACGGCAAACCTATCTTCAGACTCTGTAAGCATTTAGCCAAACAAATTAAACTCACCAGATCTGACAACTACACTAACAAGTGAATGGCTGGTGATAAGGCCTTACCATCGAGATTTGCTATGAGATCTTCCTGATCAGTCCATCCTACTTTGCTGCAGCTGCAAAACACTGCAAGCTCTATTCTCTTCTCTGCTTGGCTACTGCACTCTCCTTCCTCACTTGGCTAACATTTATCTTGCCCCATTTTAATCGAGCAAGAATGCTACAGCAAAATTCATCAAATGCACCAACTATGCCTGCTTCTCTTCAAATCCTTTCCTGGCTCCTGCCT